TCGGTGGGCGTATCCCCGCCGAGCTACCAGTCCACAATACGAAAGCTAATCAATTGCAATCGCAGAGGTGGACCAGCCGAGGGCGTTTCTCGTTCGCTATAGCATAGGGGGTACGCGCGGTAATACGCCTATCGGACCCGCACGCGAACCGACATCTTGGGGGGCTGAGGTCCCAAGCGCGACTTGTCGTCGGTCGACTAGGACGCATCCCACACACCACGTGCACACCATTTTTATTTACACAAAAATAAAACACACACACACACATACGCACGAAACGACCCACACGAACAACGCAACACAAACAACGCGACAACGCTCTTAGCCCCTCGGTAGCCAACCCATAACTTTCCAATGCGGAAATCGAATAGGCGTCGCGCGCGAGACTYAGTATAAAACCGCGCGGACGCAGGGCTATCTCATATCGACTCGCAATGCAAACGTGCGCAAGCAGTCGCAATGATGGCGTACTATGTAATGCCCATAATCAAGCGGTCCCTCGTGGATCCGAGTACCGCTTATGACACTTAAGTGTCAGACTCAACGTGTCGTGAGGGTCTAATCCTTCACGACATTGCACGGTTGAAGGAATAGTCGTGCAGCCGCCACGAGCCCTCCGGCCTTTGGCCTGAGCGTCTCGATAGGCAAGGCAAATAGGCTCTGCACGGGGGCAGATTCCTTCCCTGTAGAGTCTAGGGCTTGGGATGTCCTGGACAAGGACCTTGAATCCCGGCCCAGGACCAACGTCCGACTATAAAATCTCCAAGAAGCATAAGATAAAAGGGGATCTTCCTTTTCTCTCAAAGCATAATCAGGTTAATCTTTGCGTACGATCACAGTAAGCCGCGCGCATACCCAAAGCACATATAAAAATATATATCTATATATAAGGCTTAATTATATAGGACGATCACTTCTCACAATCATAGTGGGGCTCCTCTTAGCCACATACACATGTAATCGTAGGCAGTCACATCCAAAGTTCGAACCACAACCATACCTGCAATCACATCAAAGATCAACAAAAGTCCACGCACTACACAGGGTCAACTTCAACCACCCTCGATGCTCATACCCTTTGCTTTAGCCATACAAACCTCACTCTTGTGCAAATCCCCAAAATAAATACTT